TTTAATTTTACTCATTAAAAGAGTGCAAATAGATTAGCTTTGAAAATTCTGGAATAAGACTCACACATAAAAAAGCTATCTTCATTATCATGGTTTATTTGTAATTTATTATTCTTTAATCTGGTAAAAAAAAAATACTATGATTTTTTCCATGTATTTTTATATTTTATTGGATTCTTGAATAGGTTTGTCCCATGGTTCTTATATTAAGATTAATAATCTAAAACATATATATAGGTTGAGGTTTGAGGGACTGGGAAATGTCTTAATCATATAATAATCTCTCTATGTGCCTAACTTAAAAGACACCCCTACCATTTAATGCACAAATATATGATGAAGGTAGCTTACTTCTGCATAGTTCTATTTAAACTACACTAGTTAGAACTGTAATTAACTTGTCATAAAAACCTCCATTCTAAGAAAAAGTTTATAAAACAAAGTAGAAAAAAAATCTATTCCAATTGGCAATTGCTCAAATAAACTTAAAAGTTCAAGACGGAACTAGCTGTAGCTTCTCTCTAATAATAAGCAACTGTCATGTGTTCAATGATTAGCCATCTCTGATATACTAATATATTAATCATACCTTATTACAACTGGTGATATAGTTATTGGGAGGGGCCAGGGTTTATCACCTGTTTATTTAGATATCATTACAGTGCTTATCATCAAAGATGCCGCCTCTAAAAGATGACATAATTCTCAGGCTTAATTAATAATATACACAAGTGGCACTTTGAAGGGACAATATTACAGATTATGTTTGCTTTATTGAGTAGAATATTGGAGGCTGTGTAGACAGAAAGATATAAGACTGAAATTTATTTTTATATAGTAGATCTTTTTGGTCTTTGATAATGTAGTTAGTCTGTTATATTGAGCTGAGTTAAGTTGTAAGAATGAAATAGCAGCTTAGACCCAAGAAGAATGCAAGCAGGAAATACGTGTGTGGGAATATAGAAAGGATTTTTTTTTTCCTGCTAAAGAAACTGAAATGCTTCGCCTATTAAGTCATGAAATATTCACTGGTTTACAGCTGCTTCTCCATACTTTTCTAATGGCCAGTTCATCCAACAGGGCAAGTTGTTTTCTAATGCAAATATTTCACACACTTTCTTGACCTGCCATCATTCTATGCATGGCAGATTTCTTCTTTCTTTCATGTCTAAGCAAAAATGTTACCTTCAGAGAGAGGACTTTCTCATTCACTCTTTCTAAGTAGTATTCTCTTCCAACCCAATTCATACCTTTTTAAAAAAATATATTTTTTACTGATTTTTTTTTTACAGAGAGGAAGGGAGAGAGTTAGAAACAGGTGAGAGAAACATCGATCAGCTGCCTCTTGCACACCCTCTACTAGGGATGAGCCTGCAACCAAGGTACATGCCCTTGACTGGAATCGAACCTGGGACCTTTCAGTCCACAGACCAACACTCTATCCACTGAGCCAAACTTGTTAGGGATTACCTTCTTATTTTTGATCATGGACATCTTATTCATTGCCAGGACCAGCCTGATGGTTGAAATGAGCTGAGGTCGGGAGGTGGGAAGTGAGAAAAGAAAGAAAGGCAGGAAAGTGGGTCGGGAGGACTACAGGTAGCCACTGACAGACTGTAGCAAGATTATTAACTGCACAATGCTTTTTATACACAAAACACTGCATAGGAGGCCTGTCAAGAGGAATGTATTCTTTGTTCCTCTTCATCTCTAAGGGACAGAGCAGAAAAACAAATTCTCGGTATAGCAAATCTCAGTCAATAGTTACAGACTTCTGGGCAAGCCATGAAAGGTTGCTCTCATTCTACTGATAGTCACCATCCAAACAAGCCTGGGAAAACTGTGTGGGTAGGGGGCCAGCCTTGTTAGCCCTTCGAATGCAAGGACCTTGTCAGCTTACACCCTGTCTCCAACAATTCATCTTCCTCCTAGCTCTTATCACCACTTGTAAGAGTCTCTATGTTTTCTGGTTTTATCTGCCTCCCCTTAGCACTATAAAACAAAGATCATATGTTTGTGTTTTATTCACTATGTACTCAGTAACTACTAGTACCTAAAAGACGGTAGATGTTTATGAAATACATGTTTGTTGAGTATTTAATATTAATACTTTATGTTTTAGAATTCTTCAGCTTTTTAATGCAAATTACTTTTCTAGATCAAGGATCTAGACTAAGGTGACCAGATTTTAACATTGGTAAAGTGGGACACCATTGAACAGGGGTGGGGGGGTAGAGGGGGGGTTGAGGGAGTTATTGATTAAAAATTTGGTCTATATGGAGCAACAAAAATTTTCATAGAACGCAAAAATAGTATTTTAATATTTTTTAAAATTTCAACATAAGTACAATTTACAAATATAATAAATAAATAAATTATGTATAGTATTTTATTCTTTGGCATATTTCTCATTTGAGTGAATTCTAACAACTGAACAACAATGAGAACTTTGATAAGCAGTTCTCAATAATCAGTTCTCAACAATTATTTGTTATTATTAAAGTTTAACATTATAAAATTAACAAAAATAATATAAAACTTATATCCTAGCTAAACAGCCACATGGCCATCGAAAACCGTATATTCCCTTCCCGTTCTCCCGTCGTTCCCTAGCTTTTCGTGCATTCCTTCCAAAAATCGGGACTTCTTTAAAACGTCCTGGGACGCGGGACAAACTGTTAAAAATTGCTACTGTCCCCGCCAAAAGCGGGACATCTGGTCACCTCAATCTAGACTGCATTTCTTTCATTTATCATTCATTCATTTATTCAAAGAACCTCAAAATTCATATAAGGAATTAGTCTAGATACTAGAGTAAAGCAATCATATTAATAAAACTTAGGGAGAAAAGAAAATGAGAATTTAAAATACTGCAGCAATCAAAATATTTACATACTAAATATATTTTGGAAATGGTAGCATATACCACTTAGGTGAGAAGGAAGACATTGTACATGGGGACATAAGAAACTTTTATATTTTCTGGGTGTGTGGTAGTAACTTTAACAGTTACTTTTATTAGAGTCATGCAGACAGGTGTCAGAGACATAACTGGAGTAGAGTCAAGGACAAAGGACATAAAATGGATACTTTGCATTTGGCTAAGACTCAAGGGTAAGGACACCACATTGCTCATTATTAACAACATTGATGCCACATTAGGAACTTTTTGTTCATTGAATCTTTCTCATCTTGCTTAGAGGCACAATCATTTACCTGGACATTAAAATGGGATCCATTAACCCTTTTCTTGTCACATAGCTAGTCAATCAGTCAACAAATCTTAAGAATTGGAACTAAATTTATCTCTTCCCCACCCTACTGTCTCAGCATTAGTTCAGGCCCTCACCATCTCTCTCCTGGACTTTCTAAATGACCTCTAAACCTATCTTCCTATTTACTCTTTGGCTCTAATTCCCATCCTCATTAATATCTCTGTGATTATTCTAAATTCTCAGACTGATTAAAACCTTTATTGACTCCCATCTCCTGCAGAATCAATTTCAAGCTCTTTGCTCTGGGTTATGAGATTGCCCAGGGTCTGGTCCAGCCAACCTCTTTACCATATCCTCTTTCAAGCACAGCAGTGCTGGGAAAGACTTGCAATTTGTGGACATACTTTAGGAGACCATAAATTATTTGAGGGCCAAAGACATATTTTATGTATTTTTGTTTCCAATGATAATTATTAGTTTTGAATTTTTTATTTTTATTTTGTATTTTCACATGCTACTTTTTTCCTCTTCTTTTTCCGTTTTTATACCTGGAGAACTTTTATCACATAAAGTTTCAATCATGTTGCCTTCTTGATAAAAATCTCCCAACACTTGCAGCCCTCCAAAAAGTTGTTTTTCTTGTACAAAGTTTTATTTTGGCACAGTTCACACTATACATTAAATACTTGTTTTCTCATTTATATCTTTTTCATTTATTTATTACATTAAATACTTGTTTTCTCATTTATATCTTTTTCATTTATTTTTATTACTTATTAATTTTGAGAGAGAAGAGAGAGAGAGAGAGAGAGAGAGAGAGAGAGAGAGAGAGAGAGAGAGAGAGAGATCAACTTGCTGTTCCACTTATTTATGTTTCCATTGGTTGCTTCTTGTATGTGCTCTGACCAGAGATCAAACCCATAACCTTGGCGTATTGGGATGATGCTATAACTAACTGAGCTACTCAACCAGGGCAGTATCTCTTTTTAAAGTGTGGGTGTCCTATGAACAAAGAGAATATCTTAAAATTTTTTATAGCTATATGGCTCTAGAACAGTTTCTGAAACGTTATTATAATGATGTAGGTACTATTTTAAGGATTTTCTTAAAGCATTGCCTACTTTAATGAATAGAGTTTAAAAATGTGTTAGATAAAATTTAAAAAGTAATGCTTTCAAAAAAAATCTCACTTGGGGGGTCAGAAAATAAAGTAAATAATGCCAACTTTTAAGTTGGCTTCAAATATTTTAGGGTGGGCTGGAAATGCCTGAGTTGGAACAGGTAAAAGTCAAGTGAAAATAAAAAGTCTTCATGGGGACTAGAATCTTAATAAGTACAATTCCCAATTTGTGATTTCACAGGGAGGTACTAATAAAATGTGAAGAACCAAGATCAGATCTTCAAAAGTAATGTTGCTATTTTTGAAACACACCATTAAGAGATTTTAAAATGCATTAAATTTTAAAAATGCATATTAAGATACTTTATTTTTAATTAAACACAACTGATGAGCTTATTACATAACTTTGTTGCCAAAAACCCAAATTTCAAATTGCTAACACATCAGACAGAATGCAGTGGAAATATATTCCCAGTTGAGCTTTAAGTAAAACTTACATTGTGAATGGGATGTTGGGGAGGGTATACAAATTAAAACCTTGTGTTCTTTTCAATATCTAAGGATACTACTGTTATTTAGCAGTATAAATTATTTCTGTAGAGTAATAAAGTAAAGCCACAATGATTATGTTTTGTCTTACTGTTTATTCCTTTCCATTATCACAGACCAGCTCAATTTACAAAAGCTGATGATTACCCTCCAGTTGAATTTCAAAGAAGACAGCAATTTTGGGACCCTATTCGACTAGCTCTTTTCATATTGGTAATTGTAGCAATTATAGGAATTACGATTGGTATTGTTAGTCATTACGTTGTTGAGGGTAAGTATCCAGGTCACATTTTTATTGCCTAAGTGCTCCATGACTGAATATCTTAAAATTCTCTGTTGTATAAAAAAAGTCATTTGCATGATATTAACATTTTAATTACTAATGTTTTACTGATGTTAAATTATAGTTTGCTCTAGTATTGAGCTCTGTCTTACATATTTCCAACTAGTGAAGCTTGCAATATGGACAAGCACATGTCAAAGAAATACATATTTAAAAAGAGAAAGAATGAAAGATTATCTTCAGAATAAAGACAAATTACATCATGAACTGAGTTTAACATACTTTCCTCAAAACCAATACATTGAGTTGCCCCCAAGAAAAGCTGATATGAGGAAAGTTACCTAAAAAATATTTGTAAAGGGTTAAAGATCAAACATTATTTTTGAAGGAAGAGGAGATTGTTTCATGGTTGGGGGAAGAAGAGAAAATTTAGAAATAATTTCACCTTAGGTACAAAAATGGATAGTTAATACAACAGATAAGCCAAATGACAATCAACTAAGATTGATTTGATATGTGTATTTATAATCATATGATTGAGAGTTTGTCTAAAATTTTACAGAAGTATATGACTTACAACAATAAAACCATACTTAAAAAAAACCTCATAGGAAGAGATGAATATTATTCAACATGCCCAGCTTAATTTTCTACCTACTTTATTGGGGGATTGATAATATCCATTTCTTAGACTCTCATAAAATAAAAGGAGAAACCAAGTTACCCCATCAATTGTGTTTTTGTTGTTAATATTTTTTTTCTTTAAGTTAAAATGTAGTGACTTAGTTTTGTTTTTAAAATGTGCTACATCCCTAATATGGCGGGTTTCCAAAAAAGAAAAATTGAGGATATAATAAAAATAATAGCAAAAAAGCATTTTACAAAATATCATAGAGCTTGTGGGAGGCTGAATAATGGCCCTCTAATAAGGTATCCATGTCTTAATCCTTACAACATGTGGATGTTACCTTATATAGCAAAAGGGACTTTGCTGATGTGATTAAACTGAGAACTCTAAGGGAGAGTAGTTATTCTGGATTTTCCGGATGAGCCATAAATGCAACTGAAATGTTTTATAAGAAAGAGTCAAGAAGGTCAAAGAAGGAAGAAGGCCATATAGCAAAAAAGCTGGAGGAATAGGAGACAATATGGTATGTGATCACAAGCCAAGGAATGAGTATAACCTCTAAAAGTGGACAAAGGAAAAAAGCAAAAAAAAGATTCTCCTCCCCTTAGAAGGTTCAGAAGGAACCAGCTCTGCCAGCAGGTAGCCCTGTAAAAATCATTGCAGACTTTTGACTTCTAAAACTATGAGAGAATAAAGTTGTGTTCTTTTAAGCCACTGAATTTATAGCAGCAATAGGAAACCAATACACAGGTTAATACTTAAGAATTTGAGAAATCCATGACATGGATTTTCCATGCAGTTCATTGTGACTTGACTGATTGTAGATAGAAATTTAGTAAAACAAAGGAGAAGTAAGTCTATGACAAAGGATAAGCAAGTGGAAGAAGATAAAATGGAGGTGTCTAAAATAACACACACATTCAAAAAGTAATTTACATATTTTTTAGCTTAAGGAAATCAACACAAGTCAATGAAGAAAACCATACTGCAATAACCAAGATGATCCCAAGAAGAAGAAAAAAATAATTTTAAAATAGTAATTTTAAAGAGTGGACATAAGAAAGAAGAGTAAAAATAGTAAAATGTGTGAAATAATTGAAAAGGAAGGACTTTGTCAGACTTAATGATAAAATTAACATCACCAGGATTAAAGTGTATTTGATGGAGTTATTTTTGTCCTAAAGATCTAAACTTTTACTGTGTGTAATTCTAACCAATTATTTACTCTCTGATATATAATAATTTTAAAAATAAAGATTATAAAATAATATAGTGACTTTTAGAATATGAATGGTCTGTCAATGTTCTCCAACCAGGGACCACCAGGAACACATCTGTAGTGGGTTTATTGCCTGTTCAGGGAAAGAAAGCACATGCCCATGGTTTACTAATTAAATATTAAGTGCCAGACAATTAATATCTGTAACTTTTTTGTTGCTCATCATAATGGCTGAGGACTAGAGACAATATGATACTTAGCAGTGATTTTTGTTGTTTATTTTTGCCTTTCAGATGACAAGTCATTTTATTACCTTGTCTCTTTTCAAGTCACAAACGTAAAATACAGAGAAAATTATGGAATAAAAACCTCAAAAGAGTTTACACAAAGGAGTCATCAGATTGAGAGAGTGGTAAGCCAAACAGAAAATTTTAAAGTATATAAATGTGTTTTTCTGTCTCACTTTGAATGTGGTTATTGTAGTTACTTTGCCTCTCCATGCTTCAATATCTTTTTCTGTGAGATGAGAATAATATAGTATCTAGGTTATATGACTAAGAAGATTAAATAACTTAATGTATATAAAATCCTATCTAATCAAAGAGTAATATGCAAATTGACCATCACTCCAACACACAAGATGGCTGCCATATGGTCAAATATGGCTTTACTTATGTGGACATAAGATGGCTGCTGCAAGATGGCCAGCAAAGGAGGGCAGTTAGGAGGGACCAGGCCTGCAAGGGAGGGCAGTTAAGGGTGACCAGGCTGGCAGAGGAGGGAAGTTAGGGGCAACCAGGCCTGCAGGGGAAGGAAATTGGGGGGAACCAAGCCTGCAGGGAGGGCAGTTGGGAGGACCAGGCCTGCAGGGAAGGGTAGTTTGGGGGAATCCAGACCTGCAGGGCAGAGCAGTTGTGGGGAGGGACCAGACCAGCAGTTAGGGGCAATGAGGCTGGAAGGGGAGGGCAGTTGGGGGTGACCAGGCCAGCAGAGGAAGGCAGTTAGGGGGAATCAGGCCGGCAGGGAATAATTAGGCATCAATCAGGCTGGCAGGGGAGTGGTTAGGAACAGGCAGGCAGGCGAGTGGTTGGGAGCCAGCAATCCTGGATTGTGAAAGGGGTGCCTGACTGCCTGTTTAAACGTGTAGTCAGACATCCCTCCAGGGGTCCCAGATTGAAGAGGGTACAGGCTAGGCTGAGGGACACCCTCCCCCCCATGCATGAATTTTGTGCACCAGGCCGCTAGTATTTAAAATAATATTCCTTACTATTACAAGTATGTAGTTAGAGTAGGCAACGAATTAAGATCTGAGGGATTGTTGGTTGAGACAGATGTTTTCCCTATTTTTAACTTGATTTAATTTCTTGATTCATTTTCCTTTATCATTTTTAAAAAATATATATTTTATTGAGAGAAAGAGAGAGGGACAGAGAGCTAGAAACATCGATGAGAGAGATGAGAGAGAATCATCGATCAGCTGCCTCCTGCACCACCCCTACTGAGGATATGCCCGCAACAAAGGTACATGCCCTTGACCGGAATTGAACCTGAGACCCTTCAGTCCGCAGGCCGATGCTCTATCCACTGAGCCAAACAGGTCTGGGCTCCTTTATCATTTTTTAACATGAGAATTAGGATGGTGATATTGGCCTTATCATTTTATTTTGCTTTTAAATGTATCACATACAAGAATGTATGTCTTTAATTCTTCAGTCTGCAGGCTGACGCTCTATCCACTGAGCCAAACCGGTTTCAATGTCTTTAATTCTTGGTCTGAAAATTAATAATGTCCCTCAAATATTTTGTTTGCCTTTGAAAACATGCATTTATCAAGGCATTTATATTTTTAAAAATATATAAGATAAGCTAACTTTTTACCTATCATAGTAGGAATTCAAATAGAATAGTGTTCCACTTTTGCTCTCATGAGAAGTATGTCTGTGGAGACCACAGATTTGTTAGAAAATAAACATTTTAGCCCTTTTAGCTTATGAGACCTATTAGGGAAAAAGAAGTAATATGTCTATAGAAAAGCAATCTGTCTATGATGGCTATAGATACTATCTCTTTAAAATATATATTTTCATTGATTTTTAGAGAGGAAAGGAGAGGGAGAGAGATATAGAAGTATCAATGATGAGAGAGGATCATTGATTGGCTAGGAATGGCACAATGACCTGCTGGTTCATAGGTGGACCTTCAACTATGGAGCCACGCCAGCCAGGCAACACTATCTATCTATATATATATATATATATATATATATATATATATATATATATATATATATATAAATTTATTTCAGAGAGGAAGGGAGAGGGAGAGAGATAGAAACATCAATGATGAGAGAGAATCATTGATTGGCTGCCTCTGTGCACTCCACACTGGGGATTGAGCCTGCAACCCAGGAATGTGCCCTGACCCCTAGAATGGTCCCATTCCAATGAACCATGACCACTGAGCCAAGTCAGCTGGGCTAGATACTATCTCTTAATTAAAAGATGAGTACTTAGCCCTCCAGCACTTCCACTGCTTTCATGTTTTTCTGAATTATTAGCAATGGTGGAAAGTGTTAGCATTTTATTCAGTTCTCTGAATAAGGGTAAGCTTCAAGAAAAATACAGGTGTGAGCTGTTATCACTCAAGACTTACAGAAGCTGGGGCATGTCTGTCCAAAAGTTTGGGTAGGAGACAAAAGTTAGTTTGATTTTAAATGTTAAAAATCAATAAGTAGTATTTTCCTTTCCAAAGCTATTTACTGTTTGTCATGTAACTTAATAATATTTTTTGCAATTATGTTGCTACAATTCTCACTTTATTGGTTGGTGGTTTTATTCAGAATTATGTTTATATTATGTTAAACATAAATAATGATTTGACACATAATGACACATAATGATTTGACACTTGTGTTTATTGTGAAATGATTACCACCATAAGCCTGCTTATATCACGGATAGTTATAATTTTTTTCTTTTAAGTCATGATGAGAACTTTTAAGATCTAGTCTCTTGGCAACTTTCATATTATAGAAAAGGTCCTTCAATAATGTTGTTTATTGTAAGGTTGATGAGATGCCACAGAAACTTAATTCTTATTTATATCAATTAGCCTATGGTAAATTTGGTTTCCCTTAAAATCACAAAACCTATCAACATGTTAAGTGTAAACTTACTATTCAATATAGTATTATTACCTATAGTCACCATGCTATAAGTTACATCCCCATAACTTATTTATTTATAAATGGAAGTTTGTACCATTTGACTACTTTCACCCATTTTATACCTCCTTTCCACCCCCGACCCCTTCCACCCCAGCCCCCAAAGTGATTTCTACATTCTCCTTGAGAATATCAGGTAGTTAGTGCATTCCTGGTATTATTAAGGTCAGTTCTCTAAAAACATTTTTGCTTACGTAAAAGTAAAATAAAAATAGAAGTTCTGATATTTTCCATACCCTCTATGAAACATTGGCTTCATTTTGGAAATTAATGCTCAGAATAATCAAAAAAGCTAATCTATAAAGGATATGACAATTATTATTGTTGGATAGAAGGATGACTTCATTTACTGTGCAGAATTTTCAATATGGAAAGACTACTGATGTTGGCTCTATAGCTTTCTAACCTTCTGTCTTAAAAATAGCTTCCCATGTGGTTTACTTAGGTTTAGGATTCAATCCTATGTCAGGGCACATATGGGAGGCAATTGCTCTCCTGTTGATCTCTCTCTCTCTCTCTCTCTCTCTCTCTCTCTCTCTCTCTCTCTCTCTCTCTCTTCAACCTCTCTTTCTTTCTAAACATATCCTCAGGTGGGGATAAAAAATAGCTTCCCATTAGAACCCTCTTTTTTGTGCTCTGTATGTTTAAAACTGCAACAACTAAGCTTGAATCTTTAAAAAGTTTTTCTCTATCTCCCCTCCCCACCCTTTAAAGAAGGAATAAAATACAGGAACATCTCTGGAGATACATAATATTATCTCTAAAGACATTTAAGTTCATTACATTTTTCCTGGTTACAAACTCAAAATCTCATCTAAAAATTGAAGATGTGTGGTCGCTGACCTTCTAACCAATGGGCACATTGAAACAAATGTATAGTAGAGCATTCTCTAATGCCAACTTATTTATCCCTGCCTAGGTGGGATCCCAAACAATAGTCTGTGATGAAGACTCTTGGTTATATGATTTATTAACCAAAAGCTTTCAGAAAAATCTTGTAAGAATGTGAGGGGAACAGAAAAGGACAAAGTCAGAAGCTAGACAAAGAGGCTGTTTCAGAAGTGCAGCCTCAGCCTGATTTCTGAGATCTTGATCCTAAATTACAGCAGTGTTGGTTCTGCCCAGAGATAAGAGGGCTGGGCTGTTTGTGTTATGACAACAAGGGCTGCCCAGCAAAGGGAAGCATAAGCTACCAGCCATCACTGAGAAATGTGCTCAGGTCAGATAAGGGTAGGCTTCAGGAGAAATACAGGTGTGAGCTGTTATCAATCAAGACTTACAGAAGCTGGGGCATGTCTGTCCAAAAGTTTGGGTAGGAGACAAATATCTGCTACAGTTCCTCTTTTGTAACAATTCATCATCATTTAAGTGAACTTATTCTTAAGGAATGTATTAAGAGGAAAACATTTTTGTTTTTATTTGATCATAGACAGTAAAGTTTCCATTGACGTACTAGCATGCCTCCAAATCATCTGAGGTGTGATACTTCCTTTGTTTCTCTTTCTTCTGTTGCTCCATAAATGACCTCATTGTTTCCCCTGATAGATGGAACACTTTAGGTAGAAAAATAATAGAAACCCAATTAAGGAGTCAAAGAAAAAGAGAATAAAAGAGAGAAGTAGGCAGGGCAGGAGGGAAGAGAGTGAAGGAGAGAGGAAAGGAAAGAGGGAAGGAGGGAGGAAGGAGAGGAACATGGGAGATATCTGTACTACTATCAAAAATTTAAAACATATTTAAAATGAAAAAAGAAAAGAAAATACAATAAAACATTGTGCTTGTGGCAGATAAAAAAGCTAATAGCTATATATTTTTTAGGCATTTTACTAAAGCAGAAAAGAAAAATCTCCACGATAGTCCTTGGAGGAAAGTATGGAGAATCAATCTAGTTGGCCAAATTTGGAACACCTGCCCATCCCTACAATAATCACTTTGAATAAGAGAATAAAATCATGTCACCCTTGTGGGAGATAGAGCCGGAAACCAATGTCAGCTCCATTAGAATGGTATAGGATTAGTTCTCTATAGGAAAGAGAGGTCCTTTTAGCAGAAAAAAAGGGGGAAGTATGATAGATATACAATTGCTTTAATTCCAAAATTTTAATGACTAATCCAGATTTCTCTGAACCCCAGATTTGTGAGGTCCATTGTCTATATGACATTTCTGCTTGGATCTCTCACGGGCACCTCAG